CTAGTTACTGCAGATATTACCGTAACTGAATCTAAAAGAATGTTAAGTATTTCCGTTTAATCGCACCAGTTACCTAGTTACTGCAGATATTACCGTAACTGAATCTAAAAGAATGTTAAGTATTTCCGTTTAATCGCACCAGTTACCTAGTTACTGCAGATATTACCGTAACTGAATCTAAAAGAATGTTAAGTATTTCCGTTAAATCGCACTAGTTACCTAGTAACAGCAGATATTACCGTAACTGAATCTAAAAGAATGTTAAGCATTTCCGCTCGAACCTCTCACTACCTGGTCATTTACCGGAAGTCTAGATTCTTTCCTGGCATGTGTTGTCTCACCAGAGTGATCCTAGCTTTAGTGTGTATACAACTTGCAACTGGCACGAAGCTCTCGCTATTCAACAAGATTTTAAGGTACGTTATTTTGGCGAAGCACCTCAGTTTTTGTTCCATTGAAATCATTATCTGATTATCTAAATTCCTAATTCTCTCATAGAAACGCTCAAAATGAAAAGATCAAACGGCACTGATTACTTCTTGCAGCCAAGAATAAGGTTTATTCGTGGACGCTTTTGGTATCACGTTCACCCAGTAGCGGAGGTAAGCATTCATTATTTGAATTGCGTGATCAAGATGTGTTTTCCCAGTCTCTTTAATCGCACAGCTAACATAAACGTTCCATACTTATTTGACAATAATRATTTCATTGTTTGTCTGACAGATCCTAAAGAAAGCGAAACTAGTTAAGACAACACAAGAATTGGACGTGGAGGATAGATCAAAAGGAACTCAGACAGAGTAGACGAAAATGTATATAATAAAACTTGAGACTATTAAAGATTGCTTTGTATGGTACTCTTGTATTTTGCTTTATTTGCTAACTGATAACTATGAAACACCATATACAGATCGATAATTCAAAGCATTTGGTCATGACTGATATAAATGCGGTGGCTTTTAAAAAAGCCGTTTTATTGTTTGGCTTCTATGGAAGCCGGTTTTGATTATCGTTTCTTGTTTTTCTTGACAACAAGACTTCCCCGAGGCTTCGCCCATGAAAGCTTCAGTGGATTTTCGAATTTCACCGTACTTCTATGGTGGCGCTCTCTACTGAATGTCATTTTAAGGAAGGACGCAGCYTTGACAGTTTTTCTTTTCGGCTGACAAGGTTCTTTGAAGCTCTTGGTAARACACCTTTGACACGACGAATGGTCATAGTRSACTTTCTTGGTCACAACAAGCGATATCTTGATCGGCATAGTGCGCATAACTCGGCAGATGGTCGAAGATCTGAACGTATTTTCAT